AAAGAAGAGCGTCCAGCAGCAGCAGGAGTGGCAGTTCTGAGAAGGCAGTGAGCACAGGGACCTGCAGCCTCCAAGGAGCCTCTCGTTACAGAGAATGACTAAGTGAGCTGGGCTTCCAGGGGAAACCCCGCTCTCTGCACATAGAGAGGTTCATCCATGAGCTATTTAGACTAAAGCAGCTTCCAAGAGCTCTGGCTTGGGCAGCCCTCACAGAGCACCGCTGCCTGGAGGACTCTACCGGGAAGTCTGAGCTCTGTCCATGCAGGTTGTCTGACAAGCAATGCTGCCCATTCCCCGTTAAAGCCCTAGGAATGGGGAAATCTGATCAGCACCTCCTAGGTTTTTGCGACTGGATTTCAACAAGGAATGTGACAGTCTCGCAGCAGCTGTGCCCTGCCTGAAACAGGCTCTATTTGAAACCTCCAACAGCTGAACCCCTCCCAGCTACCCGCCAGCCAGCCCTATCACCCCTTGCCCAAAATGACAAATAGATAAAGAAATCCAAGCAACAAGCAGATGCACACACAAATACACAGACACAGACACACACGCACGCACACACACACACACAGACACACATACATATGCACACACACACACAAAACACAGCAACAAACTGGGGCCAGAGGGTATAGTAGGGGAAAAGCCACTTGTCTGATGATGCCTCACATTTCCAAGCCTTCCAGTCAGCAGCAGGACAGCTTCCTGACAAGCAGAGCATTGACGGAAAAAACCCACCTTCTTCACTCTTCATTCCCTCTGGGAGGGAAGCCCCATCCCCTCCTCCGACTCGGGTCTCGACTGAAAGCCTTGGGCAAAGCAGCCAGCGCCCCCCTAAAGACACTGCCTGCCATTCTCCATCCAGTGCTCACTCACATGTACACTCATCCTTATTTATCCCAATGAGAAGGAGTTGGGGTGGGAGGGAAGAACCAGGGTTGAGCTGGGGGTGCGGGCTCCTGCAGCCTGCTGGGGATGCCCTGTCATCCAGTCCTGAGGAGAGGTGCTCCCCCTGCGAATACCAAGGCGGTGCCCAGCTGCTCTGCCTGGGTAACACCTGTAGCCATTTTTATCAGGGCATGTTTACCAGGCAGCAGCAGGTTTATTCTGAGTCCTCTTTCCTGAGGGAAGGGACTGCTGGTTTCCTCCACCTATATTTTTACCCTAATGCCCTTGGGAGACTTAGGTCATGGGGTTGTCTCTTTTGCCAAAGTCTCTCTGGGAAGAAGAGGGAACTAGAAACTTGGGACCAGGGAGAAGACAGGGAGAGAAGGGGCTTGGGGAACAGTACAGAATCCCCACCCCCAACCAGACATTTATTTCTTTTTTATCCTGGGGAAAATGGAGTGGAGCAGGGAGGGAAAGACAAGAGGGGAAGTAGCAGGAACTGGCAAACACATCAAGGCAGAGTGTAATTAATTGGTGCGTTAAGCTGCTGGGTTATGTTTTAGTACAAGTGAGCCAGGAGGAAGAAACGATTTCTCAGAAGGAATTCTCTAATCCTCCCTAACACAGAGTCTGCAAATTAGACACTGTGTGGGGATATCCCCCACAAAAGGAAGCAAGGAACAATTCTCCCAGGATCAAGGAGTAAAGCCATAGGAAGTTGGGGTGTTCCAGATAAGTAAGCAAATGAGCCAACACATCTCCCACCACCTCTGTCTCTCCCAATCTCTCCCCCCCCCACATATTCCTTTTGTTGAAGGTATAAAGAGAAATCACAGGCCCTACCTTTGAGTACAAACCCCAAGACAGCTCGGTCTCTATCACCATAACAACAATTCCAAACATCCCAAAAATCAGAGCATAGTCACTCAGTCGCTTTCTCTTTTCAAACAGGGCCCTCCTGTGTCCCAGCTTATAGCCAATGTTTTGGTTTTTCCGCTTGTTGGCTTTGGGGAAGGTGGTGCTACTGGCAGTGGTGCCAGCATGCTGGTGGTTGTGGGTAGCATTGGGGTGATGGAGCAGAGTCTGGTGGGCATGGTTATCCTCCCGGGAGGAGATGATAATCTCTGGGGGGTTGCTGGGGCTGAAGAGCTGGAGGGGCTGGCCCTCAGGCTCAGCCTCGATAAGGTTTCTCCGGGAGGCGCTGAGGCGGCTGAGGGGCTTCATGACCCCACCGCTGTACTTGCAGGAGCTCATGGCGATCTCCGTGAAGGGATTGCTGTCCCGCCGGTGCACCAGGGGGCTGGCCTGCCGGTGCCGGCTGCCTCCACCAGGCCCACTTGTGGCTGTGGAACTTGGAGAGTGGCCAAGCAAGTGGTCATTGAGATTGAGCTGGCTGCCTTGCCTGGAGGAAGGGTGGAGGATGGCGGTGGAGTTGGCCGAAGGGGAAGCCCTGAAAGCCGTGGGAGAGGAGTGCAGCAGGCCAGGATGGACAAGCTGGCTCTGGAGTTGGGCAAGCTGAGACAGGGGATGCGGTGGCTGCTGCTGCTGCTGCTGCTGCTGCTGCTGCTGCTGCTGCTGCTGCTGCTGCTGCTGCTGAAGCTGCTGAAGCTGCGGAGGCTGAGGCTGCAGCAAGGGTCCTGGAGGCTGTTGGGGGGCTGCTGGAGGCGCTGGCGGTGGCGGCGGTTGCTGTTGCTGCTGTTGCTCATCCCCGGAGGATGGACAGGGACATTTGGGATCTTCATCCAGGTCCCCCACCCCCGAGTCATGGAAGTGCCCAGAAGTGTCCATCGTGGGACCTGGCTGGATTGCCTGCAGCACAACCCTCCACCCCAAAGCCACCCTCGCTCCAAAGATGTCCTTAAAGAAAGCCAGGCATCCAAGCTCCCCCACCAGAGTGTCTTGCCTCCAGTCCTCTCTCTTTGGTTTGCTTCAGTTCTCTGGGGCTGCCACTCAACTATGCATTGTATTGGGCAGGTAGGGAGGCCAGGAGAGGAGCTTGGAGAAGGAGGAAGGGGCAAAGAGAACTCTGTCCCAGGAGGCGGTCCTCTAGGAGCGTGTGAGGCCAGGCTCAGCTTCACTCCTCGCTGGCTCAATAGCTTCGCTCTCCTCCTCCTGACACTGTTATATGGTAAGCCAAGCCCACTTATTAGCCAGCAGTCTCATTGGCTTGCCTTAACTCTCCAACCGCCTCCTAACTCCGCCCCCCGCCTAGGCTCCGCCTCAGAGGAGGGGCCTACGGTCCCTGCTCCCAGCGGGGTGGCAACGCTGCGAGGGATGGGAAGTGTAGTTTTTGCTCCAAGACCCCCGGAGCCAAGCAGCGGCCCTCTTTCCTCTGGCAGGTATGGCTAAAACCTGCAAGCCCACGGTGATAACGCTGGCGCAGGGGCAGTGGGGAGGAGGGACAGAGGATCGCCTGAAGAGAGAGTTTTCACCATGATGGGGGGACGGAAGACAAACGTTTACTGACAGGTTGTTTCCTACATAGGATTATA